CAGCAGTCACAGAAGAAACCAAATCACGGACAACTGTCTTTATTTCACGGGCTTACAGATGTCCGCGGCGTCGCGGGTATACTATTTGTGAGGCAGCGTGGTGGAATCAGGCTCTTATCAAAATAAACAAAGTGAAGAAACTCGCATTTTTCTGCAGGTTGTGAATTTGATCAAATTCATGTTTTTTTGCATAACACCTTTCATACCCATTAAAGAGCTCATTTATGTGTAAATGTTTCTGAAAAGCGTTGATTAAAGGTACCAAAAATGTAGATTTTTAGTTACCACGGACTCTTAAGCTGAGGAAATAACCAATCTATGGCGGCCATTTTCTCACTAATTTCAACTCTGAAAATAAGTGAACCCCACCTCTTTCTTTTGCAAATATCTGACTTGTATTCAAGATAAATGGACATATTGTTTATCCATATAAAGACAAGTAAACAAGCTTTAAGATGATACCAATAACTCTACTTGCGCAAAAATTGACGAGAGCCTGATTCCACCACGCTGCCTCTCCTAGATGACTAGGCGCTTCCTCATGGCACGCACGACACGTGAACGCGATCCCCGTGTAGTGTAGATAGAATTTTTTTTTAATCGGGTATCTCCGTCTTTCCCCTAGGACGTTGAATTCCTTTCAACCTGGGCTGGCTCTGCAGAGCAGGTTTCGAAGAAGCCAGTCTCATAATTGGTCGCTTTTAAGCACTAGGGGGCTATCCCGAAAACTGCTGTTTTCAGAAAATCGGAGAGAAAGTTTTTGGCCCTTGTTCAGTTTCTTTAAAGGATAAGGAGAATTTTCTCTATAACTAAACTAATATATACACCAATGTAACCAAACTTCTCCTATAGATAGGGCAAGGACCACTTTTGGTGTAGGTCAAGATTTCTGGAAACCCCCGAAATCTAGGTTAGCCCACTTGTCTGTAAAAGCGACCAATTGACCTACATTATATCGATGAGGGTGTAAAACAATGACAATGACGATTACAAATCTATAATTTGACAAATGTTTTATCTGTTGTTTGGTGTGACATATACAGAGTGAACCCCCCCCCCCAAAAAAAAAAAAAAAAACAACAACAACATCAACAAAAAAAAACCCAAAAAAACCCCAACAACAACAGTACAACTTTTTTGGTTAATATTCTCCTTCACACTGAAGTTTTGATTTTCAAATTCGTACTCATCTGGAAGTCAAAAGGAATTTGTCTGCTAGTCATTTTAGATAAATCCACATAATTGTTTTGCTCTACATAGCGCGTAAAAAAGAACCCATTTTCAGCTATGTCCACATTTTTTGTTGCATGACACACCAGTTTGCATTAGGCCTACCACTAAAAATTCCAACGAATGCGCCATATTGTAAACTACAGTAATCTAACAAGGCTATAGAAGTTTGCAGATAGTTTTTCTCAAGTTTCCTTTGCCTGCTGAGATCAAGGTGAAGATTAGTAAAGAGCAGTGAGCTTTTTGTATTGAAAATTTTGTTACCTTCAACTCATTTCGTAAACTTCGCACAAGGTACAGAAATAATGTTAAAGTGCCCTTAAGGCCTTCTTTGGTGTCAATGATGGAAATGGTCCATGAGTTAGGATCTGTAAAGAATCAGAACTAAAACTTTTCGAACAAAATAACCTCTTCAGACCGTTCGCACCCCTTTGAACGTCATCAGGGTGCAGAATTCAGTAGATGAGTCCCCTTAGACGTCTGTCCGTAGACGATGTCTGCAGCAAAGACTTTCCTACATCTCAACCGTCCGCATTCTTAATGCAGATCCTCATCTACGACTGTTTCCCGTGCGCAAAGCTATCAGATGATAGCAACGTGTTTCTGATTCATCAATCGTCTTGTAAAGTGTGAACATTTCCTCTATGACTTTTGATGCCTTGGCAAAGCCCATATTTACCTTTCAGGTTATATTAACTCCATATATGCTGTCTATTTGGGCAACCTCACCCTCCCTATTGTCTCTAGAAACAGCTCTATACAGTAAGATGTACAGTGTGTACGGCTTTGAGTAACTCATGGTTGAGTGGATCATTGTGTTTGGCCACCACTGGACATTCCAAACGACGCGTTAAAATGTGTTGAATCCACAGCAGGGCAAATAGAACATTGTTTCTCCGAATTCCGGAATGGAAAAAAAAAATTAAATTCTGTAGGAGAAAAGAAATATTGTTGAAAAGTTACAGGGATGGAAAGATTAAGTTTTAAAAATAAAAGGAAAGGGAAAACAAACCAATAATTTCATGACTTTCCTTACAAGATCTTTTAGATTGATGTATTTTGAATTTATAGGTGGTTCATATAAAATCCATTTCGGTTTCCGAAAACAAGTTTCTTCTTTGTAAACTTTATGTCAAGCAAATTCCTTTCCAATGAATTATATCTGCTCCAAATTGCAACATTCTAGTACAAATGTTGTACGAGATATTCAGTAAAAAAAAGTTGTACAGTTCTTTTTTGGATCACCCTGTACCTGCTTAATTTGTAAAATGTGAAATCGGAAACAGATTTTCAACTCGGAGGTCCACGCTGTTAAATCACCAAAGGCAAAACGTCAGACAGAGCAGAGACCCGAACTCCAGAACCGGCAATCTCACGATGATGTGTCCTGTAGCCTAACCACCAGGCTACCGACGCCACTGCCTAAACTCGTCTGATGAAACCAACAGTATCAACAACACAAGGCCAAACATACGACAAAGACACCAACAGATCAGAAATGAAGACACGGGTTGGTGGGGAGTAGGGGGGGGGGAGGAGACAGAGAGAAAATTGTAGACAACTGCCTTTCTCTCACGGGCTCAGTGGTCTCTACCTATATTGTTTCCCTAAACAGCTGTTCTTAACACTAGAGCTGGGCGAAGACTCGATTCTGGAACCGATTCCCACGATTAGCTACGGATGAAAAGTTCCGACTCCTTTTAACGTAAACCAGTGGTTAAATTTTTTTGAATTTATTTCTAATAAAAAAAGTTGTTGCCTCACAGTGTTCCGAAATCAAGGTTGTCCTAAATCCTGAAGATGTTCGGGGCCAACCAGGTAACCACCGGAAGAAATCACATAAATTGAAAGTAAGTAATTGGGATCGGAGTCGATTCCTACGATTCCTAGCTTTCAATATTTGGGAACCTAGCCGCCCAGCACTACTTACCACCAGTGTATGACAAAACACCTGTTTCATTAAAACTAAAGTACTTCCGCACTCCCCCCCCCCCCCGTCCCTCTGAGCACCATTTTTGGGGAGGGGATATTGGGGGATTAGGGGTTGCCGCGAGACCAGACGAGACCAAAGCATCAATAGTGTAGAGACACCAGCCATCCTTGTCTAGGCGCTGTTTTATCCTTTTTCTCCTATCTGTGAATTTACTATTATTTTTTTTTTCATTTAGATTCTTCCTTCGACATCCTGAATCTAATATTTTTAGCCTGGAATTCGTCTATACACATTGTGCGGACGTTAGAGATCCATGATGTTTTCTAGGACTTCGGTGATTTTTTAAAGGTTCGGGTTCAAGGCTTTCCACCCACTTTGTTCGATCCTATCGGCAATGGACGCTACATTCGAAGGTCCCACATTTGTTGTAATAGTAAGTTTTTTCGCTGTCGAACGTAGAAGTCGTGAGTTCGATTCCCGAGTCCCTCAGCGTCATTCCAAAAACACTGAAGTCATTTTGGAAGTTCTAAAGATGTGTCACGATGTGTTGGAATCAGACGCTCGTCAAAATCACGAAAATGAAGAAACTGGCATTTTTCCGCAGGTCTGGAATTTTTGTCGAATTCTTTTAATTTTTTTTGGCTCAACACCTTTCATACCCATTAAAGAACTCATTTCGGTTTGGATTTTACTGAAGAACATTGATTAAAGGTATAAAAGATGTAAATATTCAGTTCTCATGGACTCTCAGGCTAGGAAATAACTCAACATCGGAGGCTATTTTCTCGCTAATTTTATCTCTGAATCTGGGCGACTCCCACCTCAATCGCCAATATCTTGACTTGTATCCAAGCTCAATGTATACTTTAAAAATTAAAAGCAAAGCAAATGGACTGGCTTTACGACTATACCAGTAACTCCATATGCCTCAAAATTGACGATCGCCTGATTTCACCACAATGACTCTCTCTCTCTCTCTCTCTCTCACTCTCTCTCACTCTGTCTCTCTCTCGTCTCGCTATCACTCACTCTCTCTCTCCCTCTTTGTCTCTCTCTCTCTCTTTCTCTCTCGTTCTCGCTATCTCTCTCTCTCTCTCTCTCTCTCTCTCTCTCTCTCTCTCTCTCTCTCTCTCTCTCTCTCTCTCTGTTTATCTATCTATCTGTCTGTTTCTTTCATTCTGCAACTGACTCTCCCTCCTTTTTCTTCTCTTTTCTCCTGCACTTTTCTCGCCTACAGTCCTTCCTTTTTTCTCTCTCCATACTCAATCTCTTCTCAGAGCTTTTCACCCCTTTGGGAACTTGGGAAAAGTGTGTGTGTGTGGGGGGGGGGGGGGGGAGGATGATGACTAGTTTCCTTTTGAATTGACGTGGTGCCTCCTCATGTGTCACAACCTTTCTGACTTGGACGGGTTGTTGTTTTTTGTCAGCAGCACCAAGCTTTTGACTACAAGAAAGATATATGACATCAATATGAAACAATTTATTTTTCATTTCTAGGGTTTTTTTGTATAACATTTATTTTTTTCATTACAAATAACACTACACACATTTCCCGCCAATTCTCGTAGGAACATAATGTTTGTTGAATATCTCACACATTCCCTCTCCCATATATCTGTTTAGTTCGTAAGATTCTCTACGCTGTTCGCTCACAGAGACCCCGCCGTGCAAGGCTTTCTGGCTGGACAGAAAGTCGTAGGCAGTTTTGTAACCGATAAACGGACTTTTGGGTTCCTCTTTTACTTCCTCCTTGTCGCCAGTGGCACTGTCTGTAGTTTGGGAGGCTGGCGGCTTTGTAGAAGCTAAGGCCATACTGCCTCGTCTTTGTGATCTGATGGCCGTACCAGAAAGGCCTGAACTCGACCTAACGGCGCCGTTTTGTTTTTCACTTTTCTGCTGTCTTTGTTTCCTGAGTCGCTCTCTCCATCTTCTGGCAGCTGAGGATACGGTTGGGCGAGTGGTGGTCGTCGCAACTGTTGTTGTACTGGGCGGCTGGGAGGGTGTACTTCTTGCGAACTGTTTCCCGTGGCGTTGGTTGCTAGTGCGACTGTCTGAAATGCTGACACGCGAGTTGGATGAGAGAGATGGTGATGACTCCGAGACAAATGTTGGTGTCTTTTCTTGCTTGTGTGTATCTTCTTGGCTCTGAGATGGCGTCATCGGACCCTCCTGTTTCTGCTCGGTGATCTCAAGAACTGGCTTTGTTTGGAGTCTTGAATTTATCGCTGGTTCTCCCTTCTGTGTTTGGTCTACGGTCTTCCTCTTTGAGTTTTCCCTGCGGTTTTCGTCATTTCGGGGAGACGGGGATTTCTTCTGCTCCAAACTGACGCCAACAGCTCTCTGCCCTGGCGCCTCAGTTACGTCAACTGTTTTAGTTATTGGAGTTATTGATTTTTGCACGGAATAATTTACGTCAGCCGACAGAGAGAGGTCACCTGGCTTGGGTACGGCTGCACCTAATCCTGTGGAGGATATCTTCTCGTCGACGGCCGTGTCACCCTCTCGCTGACTCGACATACGAGAATAGTAATCAACCAGCGCAGATCTAGATGGCGTCTTTTCGCCAGACGGGGAGGAAAGGACGGGGCCTGTACGTCTGGGGTGGTGAGTTCCCCGTCCAACGCTCAAAGATGGCGGCTTATCGCGAGATCTCGTCTCAGTCTCGTCAGGCTGCTGCTCGCCGCCATGTTGTTGCTCCGTGGGTCGTCTGGTTGAAGACGGCGTTGCTGATTGGCTAGTAACGGACCAATCACTGCCCCCCCTCAGCCGGCGATTATGATGGAGATAACGTGTATTTTGGTTATCGACCGGAGCAGCTGTGCCGGATTGCGCCTTTCTATTTCTGGGATATCCCCTGGTCGGTGTGACCCCAGCGTGATCTGGCCGGGCCGTGACCTCTTGGGGGGACGGCGGGGTCGGGGTGAATTCAACCGCCTCGTTTTTACGCTGTTTTCGTCGTCGCCGTCGCCTTTGTCGTCTTTCTCTTCGTCTCTGCAAGCGACGATATCTCTTCATCATCAGATTCTGAAGTCGTTGACGCTTCGTCCCGCCTGAAGAAGACCCCGACGTCGATGGAGAATTCCCCGATTGTGGTGATGACGCCACTTTTCCTTCCTTTGGGTCCGCCCGCCCCAATACGTCATTTCCTGGTGTTTGTCTGCGCCTCGATAGTTCTGCGTTCGACGACAGTCGGATCCGAGAGTAAGGATTCGGATCCGACGAACCGGTGGCGATGGAGAGACGGGGAGAGGCAGTTGTTGGTGTAGCTATTGTTTTTGCTGTTGTGTGTTGTTGCACGCTCACTCGTTTCGTCGGTCGTTTCTTCGGAGTTTTCCTCAACTCGTAGCTGCTGAGGTAGTCAAAGGCCCTCGTGTCGGGGATGAAAGGAGTCATGGTGCTGCTCTCTGACACGTATATCGTCTGACCCCGACTTTTACCTCCGGATGACGTCATCGGCTGACCCCGATGTAGTTTCCTCTCCTGGCCGTCCTTTCTGACACTCGATGAACTCTGTGGAGTCAACCCTGACCTTTGGCTGACCGTTTGAGAGGGCTTTCTGTTACTTCGATCTACGTTTTCCGTGTGTGTTGTTGCAGATGATATTGATGATGAGAGAGGGGAGTTACTGCTGCCGCTGGTTTCTGATTTAGAATTAACTGACAACGCGAGGTTTGATGACGTCTTTTCATGATTTTCTCGGTTACTTCCCTTTACGGGACTGTGAGATCCCTCACTGTTTTCCGATGTTGGAGAACTGAACTGATTATACACTATTTTCTGCTGCTGTAGCTGTTGCTGTTGTTGCTGTTGTTTTTGCTGTTGTTGTTGTTGCTGTTGTTTTTGTTGTTGTTGTTGTTGTTGTTGTTGCCGCTGCCGCTGTCGACGTCTGTTCCGGATACGTCTCAGCTTCCTGAGTCTCTCGCTCTGAGGGGCTGTTTTGTTTCGCTTCCGGCGTCGTGGTCTGCTATGCCGGTACCGCTTATCCGGATAGTGGTTCCGCTGCTTCGCTCTCCTCCGCTGCCGAATGTGGGCAGATGGATGTATCCACTGATCCTGCTGTAGCAATTGTTGCAGGTGTTGCTGTCGTAGCTGTTGCTGCTGTTGCTGCTGTTGCTGCTGTTGCTGCTGTTGCTCTTGTTGTTGCTGTTGTTTGTTCACTTCCATATCACGTTCTCTACCACTGACGCTATCATCATCATCATCATTATCATCATCATCATCATCATCATCATCATCATCATCATCATCATCATTTCTATTTGTGACACCATCATCAATATCATCATCAGCATCTTCGTCAGCGTCTTCGTCGTCATCATCGTCATCATCCTTATCTATACTTCTGTCAAGATCGTCAATATCATAATCATCATTATCACCATCATCATAGTAGTCATCACCATCACCATCATCTCTGTCGTCTCCACCATCATCATCATCATCATCATCATCATCTATACTTCTGACAGAATCGACAATATCATCATCATCAACATAGTAGCCATCATCATCACCATCATCTCTGTCGTTGCCATCGTCATCGGCCCCCAAACTCGGCTGGCCGAGATCCAAAAGCCTTGACCAGCGGTCATCGACTCCTGCTATCTTCAGGAGGCTGGTGTCGTCAGAAAGTCGAGTGTGTGTTTTCCACACCGTCGGTGCTTCAAGGGCCTCGTGGGCGCGTGAAGGGTGTTCCTCGTGTTCCCGTGAGCTCCGGCGGAGCGTGAGGATAAGGGGTGCAGACGGTGCTTCATTATCACTGCTCCACTGCGCATGTCCGGAACCTGAGTGTCTTTCCGCCCCAGTGCCTGGAATGATGGGGAGAAGATGGAGAGGAGGGGGGTGAGGTAAGGAACTGGGTTAACATCATCAGCAGTATG